CTGACGACGAAGAGTCAGAATGGCTGGCAAATATAGGTCCAAGTTCATTAGATGAATCGAATGAAGAAAAACAGCTTGATGACCAGAAAATTTCTTCATTTAATGAAGAAAATAGAAACAGTGACACAACAACGCGCCAATTCCGTTCCGCTTCACATACTTCTGTCACGCACTCCCCATAAATAAACATCTGTGAAATTCGCCCGCACTGAAATAACAGTTCGGTGTTTTGGATAATAAATAACTTATTAGACGTTTTGTTGTGTATATAAGTATCGTTGAGTATTTTTACTCGTTATTTGTATTTTGACTTGCCTTACGGGCTCGTCAAAATACTGCACAACTCGTAAAAATACTCTGTGATAACACAACAAAACGTCTAATAAGATATATATATATATATATATTCCTTTGGACAAAGTCATATTTTTTGACAGGTTAAATTACAATGAAGCTCAACCCACATAGACCATCTAAGCTTATTTCTGAATTTTACTTTGGGTCATAGATTTTAAAAAGTATATTGTTAATGTTGTAGTGTAAAATCATCATATGATGAAATATGACTTATATCAAGAGATTCCTTGACATATATTTCTAATTTTTTACTCTTGTTTCGTGCAGATTGATAACAGCTTTGGTCAGATCAAGCCATTTACCTTCAATGCAGCTTTTGGTGAAGAAACCTCACAGCAAGACATGTTTGAAGGATGTGGCATTAAACATTTGGTTGAGATGTCTGTGCAGGGGTTTGTATTAAACTTTTCATTAATTACATACAAAACACTTAACAAAACATAACATAACATCAACTTTATTTCAACACGATAAGTGTTTAAAGCTTCGCGCTTATGGGTCGTGCATTTAAACTAGTCCTAAAACTAATATCTATTACTAACTTACATACAAAATAAAAGTAAGACTACTAATAATGAATAATTATAAAAATTTGTACAATATATGTGATATAATCTGCATAAGACATGATTAAAAATTAATAGATATAGTCTTGATCAAAAAAATTAACTGTTGAGGCAGGATAACTTGAATGATAGACACATTTTGATTGATTCCGTTACTTGTGATTTGTTAAAGGGTGGACACCCAGTTCTAAAACAAACACTTTTAACTATGCCTTATGTCTGCTCAAAAATATATATCACCAAAGATGTCAAATGTGGAAGGGACATTAGTGAAACACATAGCTACACGTTGTGTGCATCTTTTTTGTTCTTACCATATTTTAAGATTATCTGATTAATAACTAAACAGATCACTGCAACATAAATTATATTTGTTTCTTAAATATCGACAAATATATGCTCCAGAATTCCTTAAGTTTATGTACAATATTAGTTGACAATCCCATTTAGAAATGAGTATTGTTCATTTTTGTTTAGACATAATGTGTGAAAGGGAAAGGTTGGGGGAGGGGAGGTAAGTGCTCCAATTGAGACAATCTGTTGATTTTTAAATAATAGTTTTTCTTTTACCAAAAGGTATTCCTGCACAGCTTTTGCTTATGGTCAGACTGGCTCAGGGAAAACATATACAATCACTGGACCACTTAATCAGGTATTAACTGTACAGCATGTGTATAGTGTTTTTCAGTTTTGAGATTTCTGGTACTCTAATCTTCACACTTCCTCATAACAATGTTGCCACATATAACAATGTTCAACAGTGGAGAATGTTCCACCTATAATTGTAGTCGTGCAGGTTCCATTAAGCAATACTGAGCTGAGACCAATAATATTAAACCAAATGTACTTGATGTTCTGTTTTAACACAACAGGAGGGTACTGCAGATGTGGATAGTTTCATTCCAGATCTAGACATGCAAGGGCTGATAGAAAGGTTTGTGAGACAGTACATGTTAATATTGAGGTGACTCTTGATTTAATGTAATTCAGGTAGGCTCCTACCCTTTGACCTTTGCCCCTTCCCTATATGCTGTTGGGCATAATGAGGAGTGAGTGACTTCTTAGATAATTCCAGGGTATTTTCGTATCCAAGTCATGGATATATAACCCAAAAAACAGGCTTGACATTTTCTCTGTCTTTTTTTGTTTGTTTTTGTTTTGTTGTTGGTTTAATTTCAGCTGGTTTGCATTTTTTTCTTAAGTATATCTAATGATATTCCTGTATGAAGCAATTGATCAGTGACTTACCCAGATCAAACTCAACAGAAGACATTGATTTTATCAGTGTTTTTAATCATCATTTCTCAGGTCTTTCCAGTATCTCTTTGAGCTGATGGATAGCAATACTGATGTTGAGTACACCCTTAAAGCCTCATATCTCGAAGTGTATAATGAAAAGGTATGGAACAAAGCAAACTTTGTATATCACCCTCTTTTAAATAATTATCTTGTTGTTTTTCCCAGAAGAAATTTGACCTCCTGCTGGGTAAAGTACACCAGCATGCATTTCTGGACAAAGCTCAATTGTGAAAATATGAACTTTTACCCAAAGAGATGTACAAAATCTATTTCCTCCATACTTCAAGTACATATTGATTACTAGAGTATCTCAGACTCTATGCTAGTTTTAATTTTAGCAGGCACTGACTTGTTTGAATAAGATATAACAATTGACAACCCTTTGAAGTGAGTGTATACATTTACATTCTTACTGCTGGTTTATGGCTACAATGACAAGAAGTATAAAATTAAGATATATTTTAAGTATTATTCTTGCCTTATATTTTCAACAGGTACAGGATTTGCTCAACCCCTCGAGTGCAAGAGACTCACTTCCTGTACGCTGGGCCAGAGACAGGGGATTCTATGTAGAGAATTTGTTTTTTGTTGAATGCGACACAGTGGATGATCTCTCTGCTGTGTTGGAAGAAGGTATTTGTTAACAGTCATATATGTTAGTAAGCACTGACCATAATCACTGAAATTTACATCAAATTAGCTCTACAGCCCATGGGATATCAGTTACAAGTTACATTCAGCGTATAGGAGAAATTCCATCCAATACAAGTTGTTTGGAAATCCAAAATAAAATGAGAGTTCAGTAATTAATTCCAAAACTAGCAAGAAGGGGGGACTGAGGGGGGATTGGTCAATGATTCTGAAATGAAAAAGAAAAGCAATCAGTAGCAATTCAACTTTGCCGTGGTAAATATACAAATGAAAGGGAAACAATAACGGTAATCTCTGAATTAAGGGTGGCAATGAAAAGAAAAATAAGACAATTTAAAATAATTCTAATTATCAGTTTCTTTAAGTCTCACCTACCTCTACAAATTCATTTATTATGCACTCTATTAAGTGCATGTAGTTTTTGTTTTTATGCCACCAAGTTTGACCAGCGTTCAAGTCAAAATATGTCAAATGCTCTTTTCAGGGTTGAGGAACCGTCATGTTGGCTCACATTTAATGAATGACCACTCCAGTAGAAGTCACACTATGCTCACAGTTTACATTGATATTGAATCGGTAAGCGTTTGCTTAATTCTCTTTGGACTGAATGCTGCTTTTGATGTCAGCACACTTTGCTTCTGTGCTGACACTTTAATGCCAAAGGGGTAGAGAAAAAAAACTAAGAAAATGCATGAAGGGTGGTTTTTCAGGTTTAATAGGATAATACATTCATAAGTTTTTCGTTTAAACGAGTGTGCCAAACATTTTTAATTACAGACTGTAGGTTTCGTTTAAAGATGTTGTTTACTTACCTAGCTATGTCCTTCATTGTGAGACCTATCTTGTCGTTGTTTTTCTTTTACTTTTGACTGTCTTGCAGCGAGTGTAAAGTATCGTTCATCCTCTAAAATCGAAAGTCAAGTATTTCAATCTGGGTATCTTTCTACTCAAGGCTTATAGTGCTTTGGAATTAATTAAATCATAAATCGGCCCACAGCTTTCCTTCTGCATTAGTCTCCGTTTTCTTATGTGTTTAAGAATAGTCTAAAATTTTGAAAAGTGAACGAATCAGAGATGATTCGTGCAAGTTTGACTGTTATTTTTGTTCGAATACAGATGAGTATAGGAATTGAATTGATCGTGTTTTTCTCATTATTCTTAAGTTCTCTTTGTATCATACTGTCAAATAAATTCGTATATTTGAAAACGTTATCTACCATTAACGTCCATTTGATAATTTATTTTTTGGTTGGGGTAATTTATTTTCAGTCTCTTTTCATTTCTGTCTATTAGAATTGACCAGGAATAACAGTTGCTTTACTTTCCTCCAACACAGAAGGACCCAGAGGATGAGTCTGGTTATCCTGTGATTAAGCATGGAAAGCTAAGTCTGGTGGATTTAGCAGGTAAGGGAAAAAAAACTAAAGAAAAAAAGGTTTGTACAAGTGCCCCTATTGACGATATCAGCCCGCATTTAAACGAGAAAACTGAGTTGAAGTGGCACTTTAAAAGTTTTTTGATTGTTTGTTTTGGATGGCCTTGTTGTTCTCCTTCACTAAAATGAAATGAGATGTTTAAAGAAAGGTTTGGAAAATCATGTATTGCAAATTTATGTCTAGAACTCAATCTTATAACAAAGCTATTTTTAAAACGTTCTGCACAAATTTTCGGAAATTATTCACACCTTTTAAGTAGCTTGACAAAGGATTGTTCTATCTTAGGTAAAAGGGTGTATAGCGGGTGAACCGAGTCGCTGCTTATCTTATTGAAAAGTCTTCAGTCATACTAATCAAAAATTTTTGAACATTATTTAAGGTAGATGTGTAGTGTCTCTTAAACAACCTTTTTTAAATATAATTGTACAGTTTCCAGATCTGCTTCACTCGCTCCATCTACATGAAGGAGGACTTATGCTTTAGTGATTGGTTTGATGAAAAGAACAATAGAGAACAACAAAAGTTTATATAATAGTGAAGTAGGGCTATAAATACCCTACTAGGCTCTGTCGATTTTCTAACATCATTGTCACTTCGACATAATGACTCGTGGGCTCATTTGCACTTTAACTATGTTTTGTTTGAGTCTACATAAATGACGTTAATCGAATTGACTTCCATGGGTCGATGACTGCTTTGTCAATTATGTAAAATATCATTAGAAGTGCTTAGTACCACAAACGCTGAATAGATCGGTGATTTGATTAACTCGCCTCGAGTTATCAAGGACAGGAGTTAACTTGTAAGTATAAGCAAGGTCATTAAAAGCAATTTTAGGGATTACTTGGAGTAAAATGAACTCTCTATTGTACACCTCTTATCGTGGTTTAGTGACTTTGAGTTTTTCGTATCTACAGAGCGTCACGAATACAATTCTAGGCTATTAGTCTTTGTTAAGTGTTGATGTTTGTCTTCTATAAAGTCAACGTAACTTTTAGGGGCATTTTTCGCTCCTTGTTTGGTATAGTTCAAATCCTTTCACAAGGAATTGTAGTCGTGAACTAGTAGTGAAAAAAGATGATTTGATTGCAGTCTAAATCGACATGTATCACCCATCAAAGTCATATCGTTTCAATTGTTTAGTTTGGTAACAACATCACATGGTTTGACATCTTTTCTGATCTTCGCTGACCTTCTTATTATTACGTTTTTCCCGCAGGGAGCGAACGTGTAAAAGAGACCAAATCTGTGGGAGGCACGTTTACTGAGTCACAAAATATCAACAAAAGCTTGTTGACTCTAGGTTAGTGGGCTTTACATTTCAGTCTATCAGTTCTTTACGTAACCGTGTTTAGAGTAGTAACTTAGTTGACGATAAACAAATCGTCCCAGAAACCCTCCCCTACTGACTCTCTTTCCCTCCCTGCTACGTGAACTGGAACTGTATCTTATCGCTAATATGCAACCTAGTGTAATAAGTTTATAAACATGTTTGTCGTTAGCGTGGCCTTTAGAGCGCTCGTTTCTGTGTTAATCGTAAAAATCGTTTCCAAGCCCCGACTGGAAAGTTTATCCTCTGTAGTGTTAAAGATTTATTACAGAGCATGGTGGATTAAATAAGTGCATTCTTTCTTACGCTTCGTCAATTACGTTTCATGGTTGAAAAATGTGTCATACAACATTCACTTATACCCCTTGCTGTTCGTTATTTAGCGACAGTTTTCCACTCAGAAAACACGTGTCAGAAAGTTTCCCTAGTAATGTCGTAAAAATAACCTCACTGAATTGATTGCCTTAACGTGATCAGCATACTAAGTGTTACAAAAATAAATATTACATTTCTCCCCTAAGTTTTGTTGGACCCCCACATTTTTCGAATTACTGAAATATTTCCATATGAAAAATACACTTTCAAGATGTATTTTGGAAACATTTATTTATTTATTTAGTCATTTTTTTCTTTCATCCCAACCCCCACGAAAGCATTTCAAAGAGCATGTCACTTTCAGGGAATTGTATTTCTGCTTTGAGTGATCAAAGAAAAAAAAGCGGCCATATTCCGTACCGTGACAGTAAACTCACCAAACTTCTGGCTGACAGCCTGGGTGGAGATGGTGTCACCCTCATGGTTAGTCAATCTACTTCAATCTTAGTTCTGATGTATTAGTTCTCTTTTTATTTTATTTTTTTATTCGTGACACTTTTTGTGTTACAGGTTCCTTGTGGCACATATGTATTTATCATTTGAATGGGTGTTTCATATAATGTACTATGATATTGTAAAGCTATCTTTAAGAATGTTTTGCAATCACTAAATCAAGGTGATCTAATGAATGACGGCTTGTCTAGAGTTCTTTTGCTGTATGTATCAGCTTCATAAAACGCGGTGAATTGATATGCACGATTTGGCAAAATTTGCTTTCGATCCAAGGGTTCATAAGAGGTGACTTTCGATCCTTGGGTCATAAAAAGTCTGTTTTTGATCCTTAGGCATTCGATACCGAACGATTCCGGTGGTAAAATAAAAGCGTTAGATGTTCTTATGTTAAAATATTTCAGATCGCATGTATCTCGCCGTCTTCTTATGTGGTGCAGGACACCTTAAACACCTTGAGATACGCTCATAGAGCCAAGCGGATAAAGAACAAACCTGTGGTACACATGGTAAGCTCATGCAAACTCACACAAACTCCCTAGTGACTTAAAGGCTGATGGTTTCGAAAGAAACTGTTTGGGGCTGCGTCGGTGGGAGTAACGAAATAATTTGGATATATCCATTAAGATCACCGATTAACCATTAAGATCCATTAAGATCCATTAAGATCACCGATCACTTCACGTGCACCTCCGCTAATGTAATCTATTGCATAACTTGCACTTATTGCAAAAAGATATACATCGGCGAAACAGGCAGAAGACTAGGTGACCGATTCCGAGAACACCTTCGAGACGTGGAAAGGAATGACAAGGACACATCTAAACCAGTCGCTAGACATTTTAATTTACCTAATCATTCTAAGCAACATATGGCAATCTGCGGTCTTTCCTTGCACTTAGGTGGCACGGAAAGCCGTAAAAATCTTGAACAAAAGCTCATCTTTCAAACCGGCAGTCTCAATCCCACAGGGATCAATGAACGCTTTTCATTCCACTACTTTTTTCATGTTTTTCTCGTTGCCATGCACCCACCAATAACGTAGCTCCATTTTCTGCCTTTAAAAGCACACACAACCCACAATTCCTCTATTCGCTCCGACGAAGGGCTAACGCTCGAAACGTCAGCTTTTGTAATCATTACAGTGGCCAATTTACCATTTCAACTTTGTTGATATATCCAAATTATTCCCTAGTGACTTGCCTACTTTACTTTCAGTACATTCTATGAGAATTATTACATAAAACAATGCTATTTACCCGTCATCCCTTGAAAAAAAGACACATTTCAGCTGGCCAACTCAGTTTGTTACTTTTTTCCTGTGGAGAATTAGTGAGGAGCACACACTGTCACTGTTTTCTTCCAGAATTTATTGCTCAAAAAAGCAGGCAGAACAACGTTACGTGAAGTCTCTGAGCGACTAAAAACTACTCACAATGATTTTCTTATCTTATGAACACACCTTGATCAAAACGTAAGTTGATTGGCCATAAAGTTCTTCCCAACAAAGATAAACAAACTGATTTATCGGAGCGGACAGATCGTGACACTCGATTTCCGGCAGATAATTTGACTCGTTACAATACTAATTATCCTCTTTCCGACATTCCTTTAGGATCCCAAAGAAAAACTGATTTTAAGTCTAAAGCGAGAAATAAAGTTGTTGAGAACAGAAAATGCTTATTTCCGACAACAGGTAAGAACGATGTGGAGAACTTTTTGTATTTGTTGTTTCTTGATAAGGAAATGAGAGGTAACGCTGGTTGAAAAGTATATTCAACCGGGGAGAGGAACGGTCAAAGGTTCAGTCGTGTAAACGAAACTACCAACAGCCGCAGAGTAGTTGCTTGTGACTCCCATAGATAATAATATTTTATCCGGCCTCATTTCTCTCACCTCTAGCTCGGAATACCTAGCAGCGACTCGCAAACATCTTTCACAAGCAACGAAAGCAAAACGACAATTGTTACAGAGGATGGCAGTACATCGAAGCTTCATGATCCCTCGCCGAGTGAGTACTAATAAGCGATTGATGTAGGGATGTATATCACTTAGTTAGAATTATTGATATGGGAAAAATTATCTAGCAAGGGTCAGCAAGTCGGGGTCAGCAAGCATTGGAGAAAACCCAGGTATGCGAGGACCAACGAAAGTTAAAAACTGAAATAAAGATTGAACAGAATCATCATCACCATCATAAACTTTATTTCATCTCGAATTTTAGAGTAGCTTGAGGGAGCTAATATCAGAAGAAGAAATATTGATTAATAAAGCTAAACAAACAGATCCAAATTACTTTAATAGATGAAGAATCGGCGTAGTTTTTGATTTTTTATTAGATTTTTATGATAATATCATCTAGTCAGACGAGTTTTAATATATTTAATCAAACGAGAATTCTAAGTATCTCTTTGTTGTATTCTTTTCCACTTTCTCCGCTTTTTCAGAAGACGAGGGAAAGCTTAAACCCGGAGAAGATTCGCAAAGACTTACTACTGCAGTGTAAGGGATCTTCCTATTTTTGCCCATAATTTACCTTATCTCTGTCGTCAACCTTTCCGGCTTTTGTAGAATTAGCTGATGCACTGATCAAGTCTTTTTCTCACTAATCTTAACTTTGATGCTGTTTCAGTATGGCTGCGGGAGCTAACTCTGGCTTATACGATATGCTGCAAGAATACATGCTGGAAAACGAGAACCTCAGGTTATTGTTGGTGCACCTTGAACCAGTTTTTCGTTTTGTTCGGTCGGTCGATAGTGCTCTTAGTTTCCATCTTGGTTCTTTCGTTGATTGCATACTAAAATAACACGTCAAATTTGGTAAGGTTGGGTGGTGGTGGTGCCGTGGAGATGGCATAGAAAGAGTAGCAGAAAATTATGCTTCATTCAACTTGCGTGAAACTGTCAGTTAGTGATCCTTTAGCTTACTTTAGTAGATATGTGAATGTCTCCGACAATTCTCCAAAAATGCGAGGGGTTCGGCTTCAATACCTAACGCACTTTCACTTCTTTACAGAACAAGGAACGTAGAACTTTTTCAAAGTCGCGAAGAAGTTTCAAGACAACAAATGGTAAGCAGCTCGGGGAACCTTCATGACAGAATTTTGTTCTAATAATCCTATGTAACGAACGTACTTTTGTTTTCATCTCCATTAATTGTGCTTCTTGTAACTTAGGTTTTGTCAAGAGAAAATGATCGATTGTCCAAGAAGTTGGAGGAGCTAGAGAGGTTAGTAATGCTCTACCACCTAAATAAGTACTTCGGTTAACTCGCACAAACTAAACAAATGATCTTTCAAAACCATTTTAAAATGTTCGACCTTCGAGGGTCTTTGCTGTTTCTTTCAGTTAAGAAGAAGCGATCGAAGACGAGAAGATAATCCTCTCGTGTTGAAGACAATGACCGCTTTGAACTGATCCAAGATGATGATATCCTTCTATCTTCTAATCATTTAGCCGTGCAATGGATTTCTAAAATTTACGAACAACTAGTTCCTTTTTTTTTCTTCGAATTCTCATAGGGAAGTCTCTGATTTATGCAGTATCGGAAGCGAAATATAATTTCAGTTGATAGCTTACCTTTTTGCAAAAGTCACTGAACTTCTTCATATGTCGAAACAGCTGAATTTGTCTCTTTTTACTGACCCAAAGAGTGATCGTATCATCTCCTATGTCCCTACGGACTTTATCTGGCGTGGAGTTGTTGAGAGGTGTCGAACGGACCAGTTCTCTCCCGGAGGAGCGTTTTATGAGTACGATCCCAGTCCACTCTCCCGGTGCGCACCCACCGCAAGACGCATCAGAGCTGCAATCGGGCCATTTCGAAAGAAGGAACTCTCTGCCAAGTAAGAAAAAACTCCTTTGTCATGTCCTTGCGTCTTATACGTTTTATCTTGCAGTCACTAACAACCGGATAAATGTGAAATCTCCTCCTAAGATTACAATCAATCTAAGTGATGAATCATTTTCCTTGAAGATTACATGGTGTTGTCTTACAAGAGTACGTATCTGTATCTGAGTATCTGAACGACAAACCAACAAACGTAAGTGGAATAAGTGTCTCAGTGTAGGCAACGTTAAAAGTGTCTCAAAAATATTGGCGCATCTCTCTAATTGACTTATTATTCTTAAATTTCAGTTCAGTCCAAGGATCGACGACGATCGGGGTCTGATCTACCCCCAAACTTTGGGTTAACGAGATTCCCGCCAATTCAAAACAGACCTTACCCCAACTATGTCGGGCAAGGCGGCTGGCAGCAGGTACCGGAGACGCAGCACACACCTCAAGAAGTGGTTTCTGGTAGGAAGTTACGATTTGATTGCAGTTATTTCTTGTGATTAATTTTTGCTATCTTCTATTCAAGAACAAAAGAGGTTCCTTAGCATCAAAGTTTAGCATTTGCGAATTCACCCTCGTCATGTTTTCTTTTGTTCTTTGTTTTAAGTATCAAATAGGGTTCACCAAAGAGCACAGCAGGTTCGAACCATCTCAGACCCTCCACACAAGCAAAAATCTACAGCCAGCACGTGAGTACCGTAGTTTAGTTTTAATTGAGTTAATAGGTAGCCAGATTGGACTGACACTCAAAAATGCTTCGTGCAGGTAATAGAAGTGTTCACTTTAAAAAAGTTGTATATCTCGTAAATTTGAGAGTCGCACTTTTTATCAGAATATTTTGTTTTCGTTACGATACACAAGCTTGGTAAGCCAATGGTTTTTGTTCAAACAAACCTCTGCCGTTTATTGAAACTTTTCTTTTGGCCACTAAATCAAAGAGAAATTTCTGTCGAGAGTAGTTTAAAGGTATCGTTTCAAGGATGATTGGTTTTTGATCGCGTCATTCTCGAAAATTTTCGAAAGGTGAAAGGCTTTCCAGTATCGAAAAATTTTTTCCGTAGTTAATGTCATTACGCAAGTTTTTTCCCGATTCTCCTTAGAAAGAAAAGATCTGGGTCAACCTCCGATCGCCCTCAAAAAGTTGCTAACAGCTACGCTCGAATGTTTGCCGTTCTAAAAGAAAAGAAAGCTAAAGAAGCAAAGGAAAATGAAGGCAAAAACACCACAGTTAATGATGCAAATCAAAAACCTGGTGCGATGGAAAACCGAAATCCTCAAATATTAGTCGATGGAATGAATTACAGTGGTCAACCAAATGGTGGCTGGCCTGTGGAAAATGACGTGCAGTCAGGTTACAACCCTGCACTGGGTAGGTGTCATGATTCCTAAACTCCCGGGTGCTTATCATTTCCCTGCTAAGTTTTTACGCAGTGGAACTTCGTTACTCTTTCTCTTTGGTGAATTAAGAAAGACTGTGAAAAAAAAAAAAAACTTAAGACACGAGACTCTGAACCCATACTCTGTTCGGCGCTACATACTCGTAAAGGTCAACGAGAGTGTGTGTGCCCTAGGGTCAGGAAAAAAAAACAGGTAGTTTCCACCTATTCTTGTATTTATATTTGGACAAATATGTCATGGTGGGTGGTACCCTTATTTCTTACTCCTTGTTATCTATGTTTACAGCTGAGCATCGCCAGTTAGCCGAACGTACGAGGCAAGAACTACAACAGCTGGACTCTCAAATAGAATACCACAGATTTATGACCCAGAACAGATACAATAATAATCCACCCAGCTGACAGCCGGTCATCGCATAGCACTCTTACACCACATCATACGTGAACATATTACTAGAAACATGTTGGGGGGCGAATTGGGAAAAAATGAGAGCTTTTAAATTTCCCTAAGTTATGGATAATTTAATGGGAATAAATCATTTTCGCTTGCAAATGAGGAAGGAATGAAAAGTATTGTAAAGCTTTTAGGAAAGTTTTCATTTGAATATTTTGGAGTTATATCATTATTTACTGAATTATATTTCCAGACGTACCTTATATCGCCGTTGTACATAGGGAATCTTCTAAAAGAGTTAAGATATTAAGCTAATGAAAGATTTATTTGAAGATTAAAGATTTAAACTTGTCTTTGATGGATTTTTTTAATTTCTCCGTTGCACTAAGATTAGCGGCAAACGAAATAATTCACTAGTCTAGCTGGTAACTTATGCGTTTAATTCAAAGCGTTTTCTCAGCGGAGCCAAGGATGGAACCTTAATCAAACAACTCGAGCCCGGGAATGCAGGCCACAAAAGGATGACATTAAAAAATCAGCAAAGGAAGATAAAAATTTAAATGCGGAGGCTCCATTCACATGTAAAGATTCCGAACAAAATAGCACACCACAGGGTTTGAGATAAATATCGAGTTCTAATCGCAAATTTTTTACGAAACTTTTAAATTTAAAGAGGATTACAATGTCACCAGAATAGATTCCCTTTAATAGAGTGGTGCAATATCAGTGCTTGGATGAGAGGAGAAAACAAAGATTTCGTTCCAGTTAAAAGCCAACATATGGACAAGACATTAAAGTTCATTAATTAGTATATAAAGCAGCAAGAATGATGACTGAGTTTTTGGTTTCCCTTACCAAGAAAGTACAACCATTAATGTTTTTGTATATTTATTACAAAGTGAAGAAGCGATCCGACACAGTCCTTCGCAAATCGATGCCCCCTTTGCAATTTATTAAAATAAAAACAAAACAAAACAGAAAGATACTAAAGAAATTGGACTTCTTTATTATAAGCTGTTCCCTTAAAGAGAATCAGCTTTTCACGCTAGAGATTATCAATATATTCATATGTACACTATTTCAAGCAGTAAATATCCTGCCTGGATGACCATATGAGATTCGGGGAATGCAAAAAATTCCACACTGGACACATCACAGATCACAATGTGATTGTTGTGCTGTGTTTGAATAACTCAGTTGCTACTTCATATCTCTTTAAACACAACTATAAAATCTGTTCAAACGCTTTTTGTATGAGGAGATGTTTTTTTGTATCCTGGGAAGTCCTTAACACGTAAGTGTGATGAAATGATAAAATGGGTGCTTGCTCCCTAAGAAACATTAAAAATAAATAAATTCCTCAACGTTAAAGCGACTATGTCTGAAATTAAAACTTCCCAACAATAATTCAGCTAGACGGCGTCTCATTTCCTTCAGTAACGAAACCCAACACTTGAGCCGCAAAGCTGTCAGCAGTGACATTTTCTGGCAGATGCTCCTTTAGCAAGTCGCTTGCATTAGAAGCGTCATAAGTACCAGTCTCCGCGCTGCCACCTAATTCTCCGAGACCCAGCAACGTAGACATGAATTCGGCCAGCTCAGCCTCTGTCATATGTTCACCTGAGAAAAACAAAATTTGAGCTGAAAATTTGAAATATCAGAGCTAACATCTTTAGAGGTACTCTTTAAGGGCAAAGCCTCACCCTGACACTCAACCAAGAGAGAATTCCCTTCTTTGTGGTAATAGGTTAATTGCCATACCTTTGTTCTGTAACAGAGTCAAAAGTCTGTCACGATCAATCACGAATCCTTCGTCGCTGGGCATACCCAGCTTGGTAAATGCTTCATTTAAGTCAAACGGCGATAAGCCAAACGCAGGGCGATGGTTGACGTAAACTGCAAAAGAACAGAGAGAATACCCATTCTTAACTTTAACATCAGCATTGTCTCGTGAAAGTAGATAGCTGGACGAGCAAGTTAATAACATATAAAATCGATTTGGTGTTACAACTGAAAACAACTGAAAAACAAATACTTACGTTTTATAAATTCACCCAGATCAATCTCATTTACATATTTTCCAGTTGCAACGTAATCTCTGAATTTCACCTCATTGATCATGTCATCAATCTAAGGAGCATACCGATAAGAAAAATTTACGTTACACTGCAAGAAAATCAAAGGCCTTGGAAAAAATGGACGAAATATCATTGGCCTTACCTCTTGTTCCGTGGGATAGTATCCCAAAGCTCGCATGATATACGGCACCTGAGCTAGTGGTACTTTTGTTGATACTTGTCTGGTGTCTGTAGTTTCCACACCTTGACTGAAATCCGACACAAACTGGTTAAACTAACGGAATTTCCTGCTCCATCACCCGTAATTCTACAATGCTATAGAAGGTTTAGGCCTTGCGCCTGATTACTCGGAGACAAAGCCTGATGGAACCAGTAACATTTGTCTTCCGATCGCCTTCCCAAAAACGTCAAATGTGGTATGTCTCTCACTTGACTGTTTCGCTCCCAAGATCTCAAAGTTAACCCTCCCTACAAGCCATCATACATTTCTTTGTGAGCTGGTCCTAAGAATTCCGAACTAAATCTTCGCAACATTTCCAAGTTGACAATTATATATATATTCTCATTACCTGTTTGTTTGGCAGTGTATTAAAATTGTAGGTAGAATTTATAGACTATTCCTAAATGTAAGTTCTTATGTGATTCAGGCCGAAGAAGAAATTTAGGCAATCAAATATCATGATGAATTTTTTATTATTATTTTTACCAAGGGTTGGCACTGAAACAAAGAAACTCTTCGAAAATGCCGTCGAAGACTCTTTGGGTAAGTTGCTGCTTTTAATTAGTGGAAAATACCCTGCAAAATGCTCCTGGGAGTCGTCCAAAGGCTAAGTGAAGGGAATATCTCCCGTGACAAATCAAACAGTACAACAAACCTTCTGATCTGGGCGTAATAGAAATAGTCCTCCAATTCAGCGCACAGTTCACCGTCCCGACCTCCTTCTAATAAACCGTAAAACGGAACCAGGCCCTCACCGCCGAGCGTGGCAGAAGCTTCCAACGCACTGAAAAAGAATAAAGCCACTTTCACTTTTAGCTATAATGATTAAGTGTTAAGCGAAACCTACACATCCTTCATTAAACATTGAACCTGCATTAAATACAGGCATCAGTCCCAGTAAGTCCTAATTATCTTCTGTAAAATGAATCTGTATTAAGTACATTTAGTGATCTCGTTTAAAGTGAAAGAAGCGAGGGTCCCTTGTGTCCCCCACACACACAGGTTCCAGAGAAAGCAAAAAAAAAAAGAATTTCGCAAAAACCGTTTTCAAAGTACATTAAGTACTAAATAATTTGGATATATCAACAAAGTTGAAATGGTAAATTGGCCACCGTAACGATTACAAAAGCTGACGTTTCGAGCGTTAGCCCTTCGTCGGAGCGAATAGAGGAATTGTGGGTTGTGTGTGCTTTTCTGCCTTTAAAAGCACACACAACCCACAATTCCTCTATTCGCTCCGACGAAGGGCTAACGCTCGAAACGTCAGCTTTNGGAGCGCTCTATCCATTGAGCTAACCGGGAGGCGGTTATGAGGAGAGACCCTAATGACAGATAGTTTGGGAGGAGGAGTACATAAATAGCAAAGAGGTGAAAATCTCTTACCTTGTCCACTGTAATGTAAGGGAGATATCGTGATAGTCTTTCTTCGTGAGCTGGTAACACGATTAGTCTGAAAATAAAAAAAAAAAAATATTTTGTGCATTTGACAAGGAAAGGGAGTATTTGAAACGAAAAACTGAAGTAAACGTATGTAAAATTGAAATCTGGCCAAGAGTGGGACGAACTGTTGAACTAGATTTAGTTTTCAGAGTTTTTCACCTTAAAAAAGGCATACAATCTTTCATCATTTGGTGTTAAGTTAAATTACATAATTTTCTAATCGGTCATTAAGGCCTTGAAGGGGTGGTGGGGTGGGGGGGAGGCACTTATGCACTGAAATGCACAAAAACCACTAGAAAGTCACACTATGGAGGATCCTATGAGAATTAACACCCCATTAAACTTTAACACTAAATTTTACCATTCCCTCCCCCAGTTCCGAGGGGCTACGACATACAATTCTATAGGAGAGTATAACGACGATTACCACGAGGATGATAATGACGATGACAACGAAGACCATAACGATGATGCTGATTACAATAACAACGAGGACGATACTGATAATTATGACGATGAAAACAAAACAAAAATTGAAATACACTTTTCAGCGCAGCTAGGCACATGTTGTCTCCTCTCTGTCTTTAAGGGGTTTCTACGAGAGGAATTTGTTATGGCTCCGTGTGTGACACTAATTGTTTAATTTTCCCTCTCAGTCCTGTATGTCCAGCTCTTACCTTCTCAGTGGAGTGCCATATGTTGGTCCTAGCAGCGTCTGTCTGCACATCTTCGTGGTTGAGTTAAACAGTTTTAATTTGAACTGTGATTAAGAAAAACAGAAATAATAACAGAGACTCAAAATCAGATCGTGTGGAATATGAAAACACCATGACTACACCTCCATAAATAAGCAAAAAAGTGAATATTCAAATACATTCTACAGCTCATACTGTTACTGCACATTATTTACTTCCCAAATTATCTACTGCCTGAAATAGGCCAGCTAAAACATCTATATTCCATGTTGTTACGCCTCTGTCCAGTTAGAGATCACACTCACCGCACCTGATCTCTCTCTAAGACATTTTAAAACTGCCTGCAACGTTGGGACAAAGCAAAATTGTATATTTTTTTGTAACACTACCGCTTATGCCAATGATCGATCGTAGGTAATGACTAATCACAGCCTGCACAGTGTTCAGTTCATTGTATGATAATGAACAGCTGCACAGAAACATGGAATCTATTTGTTTCGTGTAATAAAAACAATTATAATTGCCAATGGTCATCAATGGGTTTGCACTCTATCCATATAACTATATTCAACAATTTGATAAGATAATTTATGATGCGTGAATAAATATCTTAATTGAACCTTTTTCAAATATAAGTATATACCTGATCGTTGGCAACAACTAGGAAATTTTCCTTGACAATTGGTGGATACCAAGTGAAACACTGTGGTACTGCACTTTGTTCAATTCTCTCTGAACTGATGAGACGGAGGTCATCTGTGCTGCTGTTCAGGAGATCATACTCCACCTAATACACAAAACACAAAGAACTTTAATGTGAAAAAGGAGCAGGGTTTTGAGTAAAATTTCTAAGCACTAAACTAGAACAAAATATTGACCAGAATCCATATATAGTTTGCTTGGATATTAAAGAGCATAACAAGTGATCCCATACATACCAACACTCTATCTTGGCCCAGGGAAAGTAACCGAGGGATATCACTGTCCAGAGCTATCCCAAAGGAAATGTCTGCAAAAAGGTGAAATAACCTTTGAAATATAGTCAGGATAAATAACCAGCTGCCCTGCAGAAAATGGAGGGTTGGTGCCTGTGCAGGGTCTCTACAGGCTTCTACTGTGTCCAGCTAGCCTCCAGTTAGAATACCACACCCATGATTAACAGTCCCTGTAACTAAATGATGAGCCCCAATTCTAGGAACTTGGCACTTGCCAACACTAATTAGACAGGTGGGAAGAGAGGAAAAGGAAATAGGGCAGGGACTGAGGACGAAGAAAACTTCTGCAAAATCATACTGGATGACTGAAAAGCCATGGCTCAAATTGTTATTTTAAAGCACTGAACAATGAAGTCTGATGGAGACCTCAGCCTTCATGAATCATATAGAAAGCAAGCCACCACTCACTTACCTTGTATTGTTTTATAGTGAGCTCTCTGTTTACCAATATAAACCCAAGGTTGGTCCGAGTTATCCATCTGTGCTTTGAAAACAGTAACACAGCGGTCTAAATCCTGTTTAAGACAAAATCACGACTGTGAACCCAAGTTGGACAACGGCAACTTCTTAGAAGTATGTAACTCCTAGCTTATAGCTTATTAAGTGGAATACATGATTGGGCTGGGCACATTATCTCCCAAGTTTATGTGACAGAATTACAATCTTTACCAAAATTAATGTGTTAGAAAACCTTTCACCACGATTGCATTAGAAACTAAAAATGAGGGAGCAGACCCTTTTTACTTTTTCGTTGAGCAAAATGGTAAAATAAAAATATGTTTCAATCTTTGGGGATATGAAAGAGCAGACTCATGTGCAAAAATAATGTTTTTCTCCACAGTGGTCAGAGTTCAAAGTCAGAGAAATTTCAGTCAAAACACTTACAGTTCTTTGAATTCCTTTTTTCTTTTTTAAATTGCAATATCTAACATTATTTTGGAAATACTCACACATGTGGCCAAATAGTTGGAATCATGAGAGAATTTGATATTAGTGACACAATCATGGCAGTGATTGAAAACAGCAAGGCCATCACTGTGCCCTTCTTCCTTCAACAGCAATCCATCTAAGACACGCACATTACCATTGGTAAATCCAATAGCTACAAGAAAAAAAAAAAGAACAGTATCATTTCAAGTAGCAAATCACTTTCACTGGCACTGAGGTGAATAATTATTTTTAGGTACAGGTCACACACAGATAGCTTATGCTGGCAATATACCAAGTTTTCACAAGCACTTCTTTCTCTTTGCCTGCTAGGAGGTGAACATTACTTGCTTATCAATTCCAAACTAGCCAATCAGCAAGCACAAAAAAACATTATTCACCCATTTGGTACATGTATACTCAGTAGAGTTGTTTCATTGACACTGGCCAAAAGGATCCAAAAAAGGGACAAAATGTTACTAAATAGTGCAATCAAATCATTCCAAAGGAAACTTTAAATCTTGCCAATTCCACCAACCTAAAAGATCTCCAGAGGGATTAAAGGTCATGCACTGGATCATCAGTTGACGCTGGTCGAAAACTCGACTCGCCAACAGTTCTCTGTTAGATAAAGAAAAAAAAAAACAGAAAAAATATCGCTAGAATGTGATGAAATACTCAACTTGTTTCAAAATGATTATCCAAAAAGTTGCTTCCTTGTATTTTAAGAATATAATTATAACTTATAAAAAAATATGTGAACAAACTTACTTTTTCTCATAATCCCAAAGCTGTAGTAGGCCTGAATAACTTCCAATACACAACCTTGGTCTGAAAAATCAAACATGTTAATATTGCTTGTCTCTAAGAAAGAAAACCATAAATAAATTATAAATCTGTGGAAGAAATCTATATGGGAATTTGACAATCGTTGTTAACAAATAAAAAGGGTCATAGGGTGGTATTGAAGAAGGTTTTGAAAGTGTTATTTTAATTAATGTAAAAATGGTTTGGATAGATGGCGCTAAATTCATACTTTCCATAACCAGTTGCCACTCCCTGATTCTGTTTCTTATAATTATATATATATATATAACAAAGTATTTGGTTGTTCAGAAATAACTACGGATTGGAGGATTTTCAAAGCACAAGTGGCCTTATGAAATTAAATTCTTAACATTAGTAAGAGTACACAATTACTGTAAGTGTAAATATGACATGTATTACATGAGATTCCAATAACTTACCCAGAAGGGTGGCAAGCTATGGCATGAGTGTCACTATCATGCTCCCTACGGACAAACTAGAATCAACAAGAGGAAAATTCTTAAGGTTAACCATAACTAATTTCACGTGTAATTTGATCTCAAAATGCAAGATACCTGAAGTTAAGGGGACAACACACACACTGCCTCTGTTACAAAATACATGTATACAATAAATGGTGTTAAAGGCCAACGCAATACAAACTAGAAATAGTGCATTACTGTATACAATTCCTTAGAAAGAAGTAGGAAACTGTACCTGTAGTTTACTCCCATCAGTGGCAAAATGAGCAATGTTAGTAGTTGATGTGCTAATCAAGAAATCATTTACTACAAATGGTACAGCATCCAAAGTAGAGCTGGGAGGATAGTTTGCTTGAACTTGAGGAGTTCTATAGAAATTTTAAAAAAATCACAAATATTAGAATAACGAGAAATGACATATCTAAGTTAAAAGTCATCAAATTTCTTATCAAACATCAAGAATGTCACATATACTAGTCAGTTGCTTGATAAGAAAATAAAATTTCATTTAAAAACCATTCTCTAATTTCAATAACTGGTTTCAAAAAATATTTGCAAAAATTATTTTCTGGACTATCAAATGATGTAAAAAATTTTATAAAAATTAAAACATTCCTGACATGTATGAGAGTTTCAAAGTTTAATAGACAATTTTGGAAATGACGCTCAGATTAAGAGTTTATAAATCAAATAAAACCTACAAATATAAGTTTATAGTCATCACCGAAAGAACATAATTTTATCTAATTCCATGGCTACAACAATTGAAGAATTCACAACAGCTTGTATGTCAAGGCTGTGCTCTAAGGAAAATTGAATGGAGCCCAATGCTCTGAAAATGTGAAATCCAGGGTGTCCAGCATATGAAAAAACTAAAATTCCTGAGTCACCCAAGAGCAAAAGTAAAGCACCAGGGGCCACTGGGTACTGCTAGACCACAGCTTTGGTATTCACCACAGAGAAGACATCATGTTTGAATGAGACTACTACACTTAAAAATTAATCAGTTTTGAAAGGAAGAACAAAATTAAATGTTCAAGGGCATAAGATCATTATTGAAGGGATTTCTATGTTTACTTATTATAATAACTTGGGTAAAAACTTTGGAAAGTCTAAGCCATCAAATGGTTTTAGTTATCAATTGTATATGATAATCATTATTGGTTCCATTTGACACTTACTGTCTATCAGCTATCTTTGGTGAGTAAGAAAATGATACTGCATTGATTGGCCCTGCATTGAAGTGCTTATACCTATCAAGGCAGATAAAGATGCATGTGTCCAATGACAATGAATTGATCAATGAAGAAAACAATAACAATGGTGATCATGACTGACAATAATTAATGTCATAATCATTATCAAAGGATAATAATCATGATAATTATAAATATCACGATAAGATTATCAAATTATAATTATGCATAACTATATATATACATTCAGTAACTATAATTGAGCATGACTGCTTAAAGCTTCACTGCCCTACAGCCATCATACGATTTTTAGTAAGTGCTTACTGACTGAGTTGGGTTTGAACACACAAGAAATTATTTGGCTCTCAGCCACAAGATATGCACTAAGGGCAGCAAGGTCCAAATATTATACCATGGAACCAAAAAATTCCCCATTGGCCCTTTCATTCAGTCATTGCAAATCATTAGAAAACTGCTCTGCAAGTAACATTTTTGAGAGTATGATAAATTAATTTCAGCCTGAAGTAAACTTTTAGTAGTACTGTCAGACAGTAGTATCACAAATCAAGAGTTGTAAGTTAGTTACTGACCATAATTATGTAGTATTGTAATGATTATGCAATATACATGTAGAGTGTTAGTATTTTATGGCTAGCATTGTGATTTACGGCTGCAATGTAATTGAAATGATAATTTTAAATGAAATTGAAAAGGATCATTTCATACCAGTTAGTGAGCCTAAGCTGTTGATCAAGAAATCTCACATGACCTGCCACATCTCCTGTTACAATGAACCTAAAAAAAGAATTTAATATTTAATCTTGTTACATCTCTCACAGCACCTGTGGGCAAGATAAAACGAATCCTGTGTTCTTATTGGCTATATACCCATGCGAGCAAGATGGGACCATCTTGCCTGCTCAGGACTGCATGCCCACATTGATCCCCGGCATGAAAAAAATTGAATTAGAACTATGTTCGTAAATCTTTGACATTTTTGGTGATGGAAACGCAAAAACCAGCAGAAGATAGTCAAAACGAAGAAAACAGAAATGACTCTCGTGAGTTTGTTGTGCTACAAACACAGTTGGCTTTCTTTCCTGGCTCTCCTAGTAAACAAGTCATTCTTATAATAAATCCTTTATTAACCAGGCTTGTTCAGTCAAAATGGCTGTATAATTAACCTCGTTCTTTTTTCGCATTTTTATGGACCTCGACTTTGTCTCGGTCCATAAAATGGAAAAAAGAACCCAGCCAATATCCAGCCATCCTTGACTCCACGCTTGGTTAATATTGCATATTATATTCACTCAAAAAAGAAATATTCATAATTAAAGAGGTCAGCTGCACAGGTACAGGTACCAGCTGTAACTCCTTTTGATAAATGAAGTCACTTTGCACTGGGACATGCGCATCAGAGGCCTTGAACTTAAAATGATCTACACCTTTTGATAACAGTTCATTACCTGTTAGTAGTTGTGAGTAGTGTAAGAGCTTTCTCCTGCAACTTCACAATCTTGAATGCTTTTCTGTTGCATTTTAAGTCCCCTCCAGTATGTTCCCAAACCACTATGTTGCCACAACTTGTTGCTGTGAGGGCTCTAGGGGACTGGAGCTGAAAAATGGACTGGCTATAGAGCCCAACACTCCGATTGAAATCCTGCAATAAGTAAATAAACCCTTTTTGATTTAAGTTTAAGTAAATACCTCTGCTATAATAAATTTAAAACCTGAAAAAGTCTAATCAACCTGCTACCATGCTGGGCATCTGGTCATTCTAGAGCTTCAACTGTATCCAGCCAGACCCCAAAAAAACAGCCACTACAAGACTATTCAGTAATTCAAAGATCCAGCTGCAAGGTACTGAGTCATTCCAACAATCATACACCTGTAAAAGCCTGTTACATTTGAGGCAGTTAACTTCAAGTTAACTGTAATGTCACCCAATCAGATTTACATATTAAGCATACTTAAAGTTAGAGTAGTTAATTCATACTTAAAATAAGTTTTTTGGCGAATTTATTTTGACACATACTCTCCAAAAGAAGCCACAAAAATTTAAACAAAAGACCATTCATCATACCTTGTCTGTGAGAGGTGGGGCAACAAACTCTAATGTCTTCTCATTCTGAAATTTAATGAAGAATGTTTAATATTTTTCAAAATACTTCACTATACAGTACAGAATCTAATTTATTGTCAAGAAACTCTTGAGGGAAAAAACAAAGAGCTCTGGAACCCAAAGGTCAGGTGGAAAAACAATATATATCGACAGGTAATTTAATAACTAACATGTACCATTCAAGGTGTAAAAATAATTTATTTAGATAATCGTCAACACTCAAGCCCTGGATTGTTCCATTCCCCTTGAGCAAAACATACTCAGCTGTCATGGAATCAGCTACTAAAATATTTCTGAGAGAAACATTTTCTGACTTACCCACTGATAAAAAATAACTTGAGACTCACTGTTACTGACAAGTTCAGTTGTATCCTCTGGGTTGAAAGTGATGTAAGTCTGTGAATATAAAAAATATTTGGACTAAACTGGAACTTACCCTGAAAAGGAGAAGTACATTTCACTGCACAACTGAGTTAAAATATCTTCAAAAATACAAGTAACATCATATGGCTCCATGAATAGATATAGAAAGACAAGCAAAAAATTGAAGGGGTCCACACCACGTAAAATTGGTATCCAAAGCACACCACAGTTATTGAGTAACATTTTTAATGGTGTTGGCAAGGTAACATTTTTACCTGTTTTCCAAAGTCATCACCAAGCACAACAGAACACATCGGCATGTCACCATTAACTGTCCAATCCCACACAGATACAGTCTAATAAACAACCAAATGAATAAAAAAGGTTATTTTTAAAGCCATAATCAACCTGTGCAGGATAATTTGATAATCATATTAATTTTGTAGATTGAAAATATTTATATTTCTTGGACCAAAAACGATTTCAAACTAGATGATTTCAATCTTTTTTGGTTGACAGAAAAAGGGGGCATATTAAGGCAAAACCCAAACACGAGAGCTAGCTTGTAGGCTGAACAGATGATGGTGAGAAGTGTAGAAGCTACACTGTAGCAGCAGACCACCACTAACCAGCTTTTATTATATAGCTGGTATGTAGTACCCGTGGGCAATACAAAGCAAATCCTGTGTTCTGATTGGCTACCTGAACGGGTAAGATGGGCCTATATCATCTGCCCGCGGCAGCCTGTTTTGATCCCATGTATGAAAAAAAGTGCCTGGTGTGGACTTATGAATTAAGTTCATAACTTTTGGACAATGTCAGTCAGATGAAATCACAAAAGTAGCAGAAGGCAGTCAAAATAAAGATCTCACAGAAATGACTCTCAAGGTTTTATTGTGCTATAAACACAGTTGGCTTTCTATCCTGGCTCTCGAAATAAACAAGTCATTCTTGATTCTGATTAAAGTACAATCTATTTGCTATACAATAAATCCATTATTGACCAATCTTGTTAGATAAAAATGACTGGATGTTAACCTTGTTCTTTCCTCCACTTTTATGGACCTCCACTTCATCCATGAAAATCATGAAAGAAAACTTGACCAATATCCAGCCATATTGACCTCATGCTTGGTCAATAACACATATACATTGAATCCCCCAAATATGTCAAGAGTTAAAGAGAGGTGATTAATTTTGAGCATGGTTATCCATTTGGCACAGAAAGGATCTTTTATTACCTGTGGCAGGGTGCTACTTATTGTGGCAATATATTTAGCATCAGGAGACATGGCAATGGCTGCACAGCCATTAGGGTGAGCTTCAAATATTGTCTGTACTGGAATACTGCAACATAAGAAACACAAATAAAATCACATGTTTTAGTTGATTGTGTCAAGTTAAAATTAGCATCCTTTCAATACCTCTCTAATATTGTTTTAAAGTCGTGGCTTTAAGACCCTCCTCTCCCATGTAATTTAAAATAATATGATTTTCCTCAGAGTGGAAAGGACATCTTTCACAACCACTCACATAAGGCATTCAAATGTTACACTATACCAGCTAGTCTAACCTATCAACATACAAAAGAAAAAGAGTGCTGGAGTTGTCCAGTCTAACCTATCAACATACAATAGAAAAGATTGCTCGAGTTGTCACTATGTTACAATGTGTTACCCTCATAAGATGAAAGGGCATGTCTTTTATTCCAGTATATAAAGCAGTGGGTTTTTTTTTTTGTTAATGGCAAAGGACATTTTGAGGGTTTACAGATATGTAACACTTATGCACTGTTTACGATTTACCGTATATGCAGGGGGCCAGTGGTGTTGTTGAACACTGGCAGTACTGAAAGAGGTATTAAGGGAAGATTTGGGATAGATTATAAGAATAAGAAACAGAGCATTATTTATGTGTCCTGTTCCACTTTCAATTCTGGGCAGGATTGATATCATTAGAAAGAACTTGGTAAGTAAGTGTGTTTCATTTAGCAAATAGACATTGCCTTTTGATGACAGATTTATTTTGATTACAAGACTCGTGATTGACAATAATTCCATACAGTGATGATTTAAAAGTGTTAGCTTGATTTGTGTTTTTCTGATTTCGAATTATAAATGTATTTCTTTTCGATCAAATAATTATTAAAGCTTGGATTAATATTATACAGTCTGTGATGGTCGTCTGAGCTAACCAGTTTTGAGTAAGGAAACAAAGTGCACAATAAGAAGTTAACCATGTAGGTATATACATCTCTGGTACTTCTTCATTCATAACAAATTAATGTCACTTCTTGTTGATTGTAGAGAGGACAAATGAGCATATTTAAGGTAATATTCGAGGTGACTGGACAACTTTGAGTTCTGTACTTTTTACCCAAATATCTATGGTACAGCTTACGTTGTGAGTGAGTCCCAGATAATAACCATACTATCTTTACCACAGTCTGCAGTTGCAACCCACCGTCTATCCTCACTGACACATGTACAAGAAATCGCATTACACTGAAGAAAGAATTAATATGGTAACAATCAAGTCAGTTTACTGCATATGCTCTAAAAATTCCTTAGGGGGGAGGGAGGGGGTAACAGAATGTTAACATAACTGCACAAGTTGATCTGTGGGAAAAATCTCCTATGAAGTCTTGGCACTTTCCCAAACATGCTGCAGTTCCCAGGCAAAGGTATATTTTATTGATTGTTTCCTCTCCAGAATAAAAAAATATATATCAAAAGTGCATCTTACATGGCCTTGTAGAAGTTGCTGTTTATTTGCTTCCCAGTCAAACATGATGCCAACATGTGAACATACATAGAATGCCACCTGAAAAAAAGGAAAATGGAAAAATGCATGTTGGTTCAGGGCATCAAGATGAGTGATGGATAAAAGGGACAGAAACATGACAGAATCATAAAAATGCAGGAATCGAAACAGAGACAAGAATATATAATTTTTCACAACATACTGTAGCAGAATTGCAAAGAGGAAAAAAAGAAAGGCATCCTAGATAAAAAAAGAGCAAAAAACATAGTTTGGAAATGTTAGGAAAAAAAAAAGCTCACCCCCCGCTTTTTTTTCACACTGAAGAAAGTAACCAATTTTCCAGGCAAAATCTCTTACAAACACACACCAAATGATCAATTCAAATTTGTCAATTTAGAAATTGCCTTTTCCCTAGAATATTAGCCCGCTCAATGGCAAAAATCAGGTATGAGAGACAGGACAAATCATACTGACGAAGAACAAATTATGGACACGTCGATTCATTTCGTGTCATGCTACATATATAAGTTATGTTATGTTATAGAATTGTGGTAGAGTTTGAAATTTTTCAAGCAACAGCCAAACAAAGTAGCTTTCGTTGTAAATCTAAGATAAAAATCAACCAAAACCAACTAAAACATGATGTCACTATATACTTGGTACCTTTCTACTTCCATTAGATAAATTCTGAACTGGAACATGCCTGTTTACACCAAACGACCAACACATATTCTATGAGAGAAAATAGAAAGCCTTATTCAGCTACATGACTATGAAATAAGTAAGTTTTGTATGGACAAATATACGCCCCGCTGGAAAAACTCACCAAGGATGTCGGAGTAGGTTTCACCTCCTCCACCTCGTCTTCCTCACCATCTACATGCGACGAAGCCGCACTAGCTACGCGCGATTGAGCACCAGACCTTTGTTCTTGGTCTTCTTCCATTATTGAGTTCTCTACACAAAATAATATATGTTTCGGGAAGACCAGAAATTCAAGTAAACATAGAATTTATCACTTATAGTTTACCGAGCTAAAACTCTCGCTTCTTGTTATTACAACCCTGTCAGTTACTATGGTAAGTCTGAGCCCCAAGTCCAAACCGCTGACTAAAAAGAAACTCAGTAATTAATTTATTTGCGTAAAGCGTTCGTGTTAGGTCCATATCATGTCCCAATAACTAATACACATTAATACTAAGTATTATTACATTCATGTATGTAGCACCATATGTCCTATATAACCTTGTGCTATCACTTACCTTTGTTCTCCCTCATTAACCCACATCTACTCTAACTTACCCATGTTCTACAACGTTCACCCCCATATACCCTTGATTAACCATGTTCTACCGCGCTAACCCTCATCTACCCTAGTTAACCCATCTTCTACCACGCTTACCCCAATCTACCCTAGTAACCCATGTTCTACCACATTTACCCCCATCTACCCTAGGTAACCCATGTCCTACCACGTTTACCCCCATCTACCTTAGGTAACCCATGTTCTACCACCTTTGTCATTTGTTTAATTAGGTGCCTCAGAGTGCGGTGGGTCTCACTTTCACGCATGCCACTCCGGCGCCTGTGACTTCCCGGACTTGCGCGTCTATTCCCGAGGTCCCTTGGGTCTAGTGAACGAGAGATTCCATTGTGGCCGCGTTGGGATGCGTTACGTAGAAGTGGCATACGTGACTGGAAGCATCACCCATTGGTTTATAGAGGTGCCTCAGAGTGCGGAGGGACTCACTCTCACGCAAGCCACTCCGGCGCCCGTCATTTTCCGGAGTTGCGCGTCTATTCCCTAGGTCCGTTGGGTCTAGTGAACCTGGGATTTCATTTTGGCCGCGTTGGCATGCGTTACGTAGAAGTGGCATGCGTGAGTGCAAGCCTCACCCCTTGGTTTCAACATGTGCCTTAGAATGCGGTGGGACTCACTCTTACGCATGCCACTCAGGCGCCCGTGATTTTCCGGAGTTGTGCGTCTATTCCCGAGGTCCCTTGGGTCTATTGAACCTGGGATTCCATTTTTACCGCTTTGGCATGCGTTACGTAGAAGTGGCAGGCGTCAGTGCAAGCCTCACCCCTTGGTTTGCACAGGTGCCTCAGAGTGAGGGAGGGACTCATTCTCACGCATGCCACTCCGACGCCCGATATTTCCCGAGTTGCGCGTCTATTCCCGAGGTCACTTGGTTCTAGTGAACATGGGATTCAATTTTCGCCGCGTTGGCATACCTTACGTAGAAGTGGCATGCGTGAGTAGAACCCTCACCCCTTGGTTTGCACAGGTGCCTCAAGGTGCGGTGGGACTCACTGTCACGCATGCCACTCCGGCGCCCGTGATTTCCCGGAGTTGCGCGTCTATTCCCGTGATACCTTAGATCTAGTGAACCTGGGATGCCATTTTGACCGAGTTGGCATGCGTTACGTAGAGGTGGCATGCGTGAGTGCCACTTGTACGTAACGTATGCCAACGCGCCCAAAATGGAATGCCAGGTTTACTAGAGCCAAAGAATCTCGGGAATGGACGCGCACCTCCGGAAAATTACGGGCGCCAGAAAACCATGCGTGCGAATCAGCCCTACTGCAATCTGAGGCACCTGTCCCAACCAAGGGGTGAGGCTTGTACTCACGCATGAGACTTCTACGTAATGCATGCTAACGCACCCAAAATGGAATCCCAGATTTACTAGCCCTAAGGAACCTCGGGAATAGACGTGCAACTCCGGGAAATCACGGGCGCTAGAGTGGCATGTTTGGCAATGAGCCCCACTGCACTCTGAGGCACCTTTGCAAACCAAGGAGTGAGGCATGTACTCACGGAAGCCACTTCTACGTAACGCAGGCCAACGCGCCCAAAATTGAATCCCAGGTTCACTAGACCCAAGCAACTTTGGGAATAGACGCGCAAGTCCGGGAAATCAGGGGCGCGAGAGTTGCATGCGTGCGAACTAGCCCCACTGCACTCTGAGGCACCTGTGCAAACCAAGGGCTGGGGCTTGTACTCACGCATGTCAATTCTACGTAACGCGTGCCAACGCGCCCAAAATGGAATCCCAGGTTCACTGGACCCCAGGGATCTCGGGAATACACGCGCAACTCAGGTAAATCACGGGCGCCAGAGTAGCATGCGTGCGAATGATCCCCACTGCACTCTGATGCACCTGTGCAAACCAAAGGGTGAGGCTTGTACTCACGCATGCCACTTCTACGTAACGCATGCCAACGCGGCCAAAATGGACTCCCAGGTTCACTAGACCCAAGGGATCTCGGGAATAGACGTGCAACTCCGCGAAATCTTGGGCGCCAGAGTAGCATGCGTACGAATGAGCCCCACTACACTCTGAGGTACCTGAGCAAACCAAAGGGTAAGGCTTGTACCCACGCATGCAACGTCTACGTAACGCATGCCAAAGCACCCAAAATGTAATCCCAGGTTCACTAGACCCAAGGCACTTCGGAAATAGACGCGCAACCCCGGCAAATCAGTGGCACCGGAGTGGCATGCGTGCGAATGAGCCCCACTGAACTCTGAGGCACCTCTGCAAACCGAGGGTGGAGGCTTATTCTCACCCATGCCACTTCTAAAAAACGCATGCCAACGGGCCCAAAATGGAATCCCAGGGTCACTAGACCCAAGAGACCTCCGTAATAGACTCGCGACTCAGAGAAATTTAGGGCTCTGGAGTGGAATGCGTGCGAATGAGCCCCACTGCACTCTAAGGCACCTGTGCAAACGAAGTGGGAGGGTTGTTCTCACGTCTGCCACTTCTACGTAACGCATCCCAAAGTGCCCAAAATGGAATCCCAGGTTCACTATCCCCAGGGGTACTCAGGAATAAACGCGCTACTCTGGGAAATCACGAGTGCCGGAGTGGGTTGCGTGAGAATATGTCTACCTAAGTTCTGAGGAACCTGTGGAAAAGAAGGGGAGGCATGTTCTCACGCATGCCACTCCACCGTAATGCATGCCACCACACTGAAACTGCAATCCCAGGTTCACTAGACCCAAGGGACCTCGGAAGTATACGCGCTACTCTGGGGAATCACGGGCGTTGGACTGGCATGCGTGAAAATGTGCCCGCTAGGCTCTGAGGACCTGTGGAAACGAAGGGGGGATGCATGTTCTCATGCATGCCACTCCGCCGTAACGCATGCCACCGCGCTCATACTGGAATCCCAGGTTCACTAGACCCAAGGGAGTTCGGGAATAGACGCGCGACTCTAGTAAATCACGGGCTCCGGAGTGGCACGCGTGCGAATGAGCCCCACTGCACTCTGAGGCACCTGTGGAATCGAAAGGGGGAGGCATGTTCTCACGTATGCCACATCTCTGTAATGCATGCCACTGCGCTCAAACTGGATTGCCAGGTTCACTAGACCCAAGGTTCACAAAACCTTCCTGTGGAATCAACTCATGTTTACTTTAACGCTCCTTTTAAGCGYACAATGTAAGCCAAAGCAATTTTTCAGTTAAACTTAAAGATAATATTTTCTTCTAAGCATGATAAACGATCGATGCTGAACTAAATTATACGTTGAAGAAAATGAAAAACAGCATAACATAACGCAGCATAACGCAGGAAGCTTATCAAAAGCTTCTGCAGCTTGATCTTGTAGTGTTATTCTCAATTTTGTTGGCAAGTTGTAATTTTGGTGCAGCCAATGACCTACGACTATATCTATTTACGACGTGTTACTTGAGTTTTAGTGGAGAGTCCTCATTGTATAATGACTTGTGCGCTAGCTTAGCTATATTAAATTCTAAACGCTCTTTAATTGTGAGCCAACCTAGCTTTCTAACATCCTGGAGTCCAGCAAATTTAGTTAACACAAAACCCGCACACGTGTTTTCTACTCTTTGAAGGCGTTTGGTCTGGTACTCTGGGAGAGGACTAAACACAACGGTACAATAATCCAGTTTAGAGAGTATAAGACTTTCCACCAGTCGTTTTCTTATGTGGTATCGTGCGAGGTTTTTTAGTTTTCGTAGTACTGCTAAAGCACCGTAACACGATGACAACAGACTCGTTCATGTGTTCTTGCCATGTTAGTTTCTGATCCAGATAAACTCCCAAAAGCTTGGTGCTTGAGACTTTCTCAAGTTTAGTGTCACTGCAGTATACATCTGCAGAAAAATAATTAAAAGATTGTGCGCGCGCCAATTGTCTTGTAGAGAGAACCATCCATTTCGTTTTTGCTCAATTCAACGCCAAATTGGACGATTCAGAGTAAATGCTCAGGCTTCTTATTGTCTGATTAGCATCCTTTATGCACGCCTCTATTTCATGGGGCTTCGAGTGGTGAAGCAACGTGGTATCATCCGCATATTGAAAGCATTTGCAACTCAACTTTTTCTAGAGGTCTGCTACATAGATATTGAAAAGTAACGGTCCTAAAGTCGATCCTTGAGGGACGCTGAAGCACGTTTCCAACCTCTGAGAACACTTGTCATCTATCATTACATACTGTTGTTTGCCCGTAACATAGGAGGTCATCCAGGTTAGAAAATCCTTTGAAAAACCCATTGAGTGCATTTTATAAATAAATGGCTTGAAGTTCACAGTGTCAAAAGCTTTCGAGTAGTCTGCAAGAATCAAGAGAGTTACTTCGCCGCGACGCATTGCACGTGTGATATCGTCTCTAATCCCCATTAATGTCGTGGCCGTTGAGTGATTCTTTCTAGATCCTGAGATGTTTTCACCAAAAAATGCTCTTTCTTCAATAAATTAAATTGTCTGATGGGCTACCAGCCTTTCAAAGATTTTGGACAGGGCTGGGAGGATGGGCTCTTTTGCGTAGCTTATTGCGTTGGGGTTGCAGCTCACGGATTTCGGGATCAGCTATACAAGGAGCGGGTGGACGTGTAACTTTCACTCTTCTTAGAGGAGCATGGCTTTGAATGCATTCTGTAACAAGAGAGTTACAGAATCAAGACAGAAAAAAGCAAATATTTAGAAATTTTTAAAATTCCAAGCCAAGTAAGCTTTTCTAGTGTTTCTTTCTTTAAGGCTTTGTGTACAGCGAGAGCTTTGTTTTATAAACCGTAAAACTTAGTGAC